GCGGACACCTGGGGGGCAGAGCCCTCACTCAAAAAGCACTACGACAAGGGTACTATTGGTCAACAATGAAAGCAGACGCCGTTGAGCTAGTCAGGAAATGTGATAAGTGCCAGAAGCACGCCAATATTCACCACCAGCCCGCCACCGACCTCAAGTATCTCACCAGCCCATGGCCCTACGCACAGTGGGGCATCGACCTGCTCGGGCCATTCCTGCCAGTTACGGGTGGGAGGAAGTTCCTAGTAGTGGCGGTAGATTACTTCACAAAGTGGGTTGAAGTTGAACCTCTCGTAACAATCACAACTCGAAACGTCCAGAACTTCTTCTGGAAGAACATACTGTGCCGCTAAGGCTACCTCGGATACTGATCTCCGACAATGGCAAGCAATTCGAAGACATCAAATTCCAAGAATGGTGCCAAGAGATGGCACAAGTATCAAGTTTGGGGTAGGCATGCCTTATCATCCACTAGCTCAGTTTGAAGCCCCTCCGGTATGAGCCCACTATCAGGTCGTCGAAGTGCTCCGATGCTGTGTAGTCGTCGACGGCCTTCACCTTGGTGTCCTCAAGGGCCTGGAAGAAGATCTCAGACTTCTCCTTGATGTCGGCCTTGAGGTATTCCACCTCGTGCTCCAGGCCCCCTTTTGAGGTCGCGAGGTGTTTCACGACGAGCCTCAGGCGCCGTTCTCCCTGCGGAGTCTCTCCAACTCACTCCTCAGAGCCAAAGTCTCACCCTCAAGACACTGGACCCGCTCCTGAGTTGATCCCAAAGCCTCTTCGGCAATTTGCGCCCGCTCCCGAGCTGATCCCAAAGCCTCTTCGGCAGTTTGTGCCCGCTTCAGGTTCCTCTCTGATTGGATAATCAGGGCATGGATGGAGGAGTTCGCCTACCAAGCAAGGAGTCAGTTCGACAAGAAAGTAAAGAATGAAGGAAAAAGCACAAAGGGAAAACCACGTCAACTTACCACCATAATATGAGACGCAGCACGTGTGCCGATGTGGCCTAGAGGAAGCTCGGACCATGCCACGACCTCGCTTGGATAAACGACCTTCTGAATCTTCCGAAGAGCGCAGCTCGGAGTCAGCACACTACAAACCCCCTCCTGGCTCCTCGAGCTGGAAAACACTGTCGGAGTTTGAGAAGCCTCTGTGGTTTCAGCTTCCCGAACCTCTGTGATGCCGGGCTCCACTGCCACTTCGGGGATAGGCCCCATCGCCTCAGGTTCCCTGGGAGAATCCAAGTTGATGACCGAAGGATGGCTCGGGACTTCGGACTCCATGGCCCGAGGAGACTCCACGCGAGCACGCTTGGTGACCCGCTTCCTCCTCTTCATCCCATCAAGTAGGTTGGCACCACGGGTCTTCTCTGCCTCCATGATACCTGCGAAAAGAGCTCGACATCAGTACAAAAAAAAACTAAGTAAAGAAGCCTACCCGGACTCACACCGGCCTGAATAAGCTTAGCTTCTGAGAGGTATTCTCCGCACTCGAGCCCGACCTGGGCCCAGGACTGAAATGTCTCCGCCATGTCTTTATCTAACATGATGCCGGGATCAGGGACAGCCGCCCTCCAATGAGTAGGAAACGGCCACCCCATAGCACTTCGGACCACGAAGTAGTCCTGCTTCCACGCCAGGACCTTGTTTGGAAGTTTGTGAAGAAGTTTGAATCCCGGGTGGGGAGACAGGTAGTAAGCTCGCCTGTGCTCGGGAAGGAAGCTCGCTTGTTTTTGAGCATGAGAAGAGAAAAAATTTCTTAGTCCAAAGGAATAACATATTCACAGCAGAGAGATATGGTCCCGACGACGTTGCGAAAAGAGTTCTGGTGAAGCTGACCGACTGAGACACCAAAGTGGTTCAAGACTTCGACGATTAGGGGTGGAGAGGAAGGCGCAGCCCGGCAATGAGCTGGTCTCAGAAGACCACGATCTCATCTCGACCGTGCTCCCAAGGGAAGTTGCCCAAAGGTAAGCTATATGCGTACTCCCTGGGCAGGTTGAACTGACGAACAAGGGACCGAAGTCTCTCAGACGTCATAGGGGAGGGTCCGAACGTGTCCGACATCTGAACCCGATGAGAAGTGGACTCTAGGCTACCCGGGGTGACCCGGGCTGAAGGCCCTACCTTGGGCTCATCCAGAAGTCTATCAAAAGAGTTGGCCCGACCCAAGGTCTCCGCCTCGGGCCCTTCTAAAAGATTATCTAAGCTACCCGAACTACTCGAACTAGACATCGCAAAAGGAAAGGAAAGGAAATTGAAAAGGCTAAGGGGACTCACCAAGGGAACGCTACCGAACTAGGGAAAGTGATGCGAGCTGAGGACCTTGGACGCGAGCTCAAGAAAATATTGGCAAAGGAAAAGTGACCAAGGACCCCAATATTTATAGCCGCTGTACCCGCGCATCAACAGTCGAGATCAAAGCCATCCAATGGCTCTCAAGAAAACCGATTGCACGACACCCGAGGTGAAATCAGTTTAGCACGAATTTTTGATGTCCAATAGCTGATAAATCGTTTGACATCCGCGCGTGAGCTGTACACGACCCGAGTTGACTTTGGTTGAGCTGCACTGACCCTAGTTGAGCCAAGAGCATAAGCGGGTCAGACCGGGGGATCTCCGAACTGGACGAAGCACACCACGGGGCAAATCCACCTGTCAGTCCGTGAACTCCCCACGCCGGGTCAAGAACCCGGGCACGGGGAGTGGGGGGCAATTGATGAGCTGCACTGACCCTAGTTGAGCCAAGAGCATAAGCGGGTCAGACCGGGGGATCTCCGAACTGGACGAAGCACGCCACGGGGCAAATCCACCTGTCAGTTCGTGAACTCCCCATGCCGGGTCAAGACCCTGGGCACGGGGAGTGGGGGGCAATTGATGAGGGTAGATTTGGCCCGACCCCTTGGCTGTGCGACACGTGGAAGAAACCGGGGTAACCTGGTAGGAACGCTAGCTCGGCATGGTGACATAGCACGACCATACCCCAAGAAGAGGCCCGAGCTCTCGAGCTCCCCAAAAGGAACCCACACTTCCTGGGAGGTGAAACCCGAGCTCTTCCTAAGAATCCCGAAGCTAACAAGCCCACGAGGGGCGAAGCCCGGACTAGCCCACCTCGGGTCAGTTCGAGTTGTATCCCGGTAGCTCGGGACTATAGGCCATACTCTCATCCATACTCAAGACTTCACTTCGTGCACCACTCCGGCACCTCGGCTCCAGGTCGTGCAACTGTGAAATGGTACCTGACAGGTCCGTACTCTGAGGCAGCACACCTGGCTGGTCTGGATTTGACAGATGGCAATCACGCCGTAACGGCCACCTGCTACCACCATCTCAGTTGTGGCAGAGACGACCCTGACAGAGAGTACAATGGCAGTTATGTCTGCCCCCCACAGAGGCGATTATACCTGACTTGGCAAAAACTTGGGAGTGAGTGGACCAGGTGGTCATAAAAGGCTTTCTTCCCCCAGAGAAAGAGGTATGTGATATTTGTGCTTTCTGGTCTTAAAGCTCCTTACTTTCCCTTGCCTTCTCAAGAGTATTAACTTGAGCTTCGGAGTATTCCCACCGGGTTCCTCCCCGGAAATCTCTTATTTATTCCTTGTTTCAAGCATCTTCAGCTCCATCAGAGGCAAGGCTATCAACAGTTAAGACCGACCGGGTCGTGCTTCATCAATAATCAATCGTTTATATAATATAAATATATTAAGGTGAAATGTGTATGTAAGAAGGCCTTAGGATGAGGGAAATGGAATTTATTAGTATTTTTTGCCTTAACTTTATAGAAATTATAAGAATGTCACTCTCTATCAACTCTCTCTTTTGATTTTTTTTCTTTCAAATTACAAAAATGCAACTCTCTCCTATCAACTCTATATCTCTCTTGCTTTTTTTTTTCTTTCAAATTACAAGAATGCTACTCTCTCCTACCAACTCTCTCTCTCTCTCTCTTACAAATTACAAGATGCCATCTCTCTCTCTCTCTCCTTATAAATTATAAGAATGCTATTCTCTCTCCAACTAAGGGAGACCTCAGCTCGACATCTCGACTCCTAGGGGACTTGCAATCAAAGGTAGTTGAGTTCGAGCCGAGCCGAGCTCGAACTTTTGACCTCAAGCTCAAGTCTCCAATTCGAATTGAGCTCAAATTAGACGACACCTCGACCACTGAGGGAGACCTCGGCTCGACACCTCGGTCACTTAGGGAGATCTCGGCTTAGCACCTCGGCAAATGAGGGAGACCTTAGCTTAGTACCTTGTCCACTAAGGGAGACCTTAGCTCGACACCTCGCCTTTTAGGGAAACCTCATCTTGACACTTCAATACCTGAGGAGACCTCGATTTGGCACCTCGACAATTGAGGGAGACCTCAGCTCGGCACCACGACTGCTTGAGAGACCTGCAATGAAAGGTAGCCAAGCTAGAACTTCAGAGCTTTTGACTTGAGCCGATCTTGAACTTGAGCTCATGCCTCTAATTCAAATTGAGCTCGAGCCTGATTGTTTATAGGCGAGCCCCTGCAACAAAGGGCCACCTCCGCTAGTAAATATATTAAGCTGAAATGTGTACATAAGAAGGCCCGAGGATGAGGGAAATGGAATGTAATAGTATTTTTTGCCTTTGTTTGTAGAAATTATAAGAATGCCACTCTTTACCAACTCTCTCTCTTTTCTGTTTCTTTCCTTCAAATTACAAGAATGTCATTTATCTCTCTCCTTATATATTAAAAGAATATCACTCTCTCTCCAAGAGGAAGACCTCAACTTAGCATCAAGGTAGTGGAGCTGAGAATACCAAGTATATTGCACTCTCACGGTATGTCACCCCAATTTAGTGATTTCATCAATGTATTGTTATTTTCTCTTAGGAGACATCCCATGAAATTAGAAGAGAGAAGATTAGCATAGCCCCTATGCCTGATCACCACAAGAAATGCCTTAATTATAAATCTCGAAGGTACCAAATCAATGACAATAAATTATTTCTAAGAGAAATACAGGTATTACGTACACAAAATATCACATATATATGCACCGCCACTTATTTTCATCATCAACATCTACTAGAACATAAACATAGACATAAAGAACATACCCAATTACTTAACAACTTAAAGACCCTCATAAAACAATTCCTTGAATTTGTCAATGTGCTCCGTCTGCAATCGCAGATACACGATGATGCCATCATCCTCCGTCGAGATCACGTACGCCTTGCCGTCCGCCCCTAGGGAGGTCGGGCCCATATGGAATGGTTGGCCCCACCCGAAGTCCGTCGTGTACAGTGGCAGCCCTATCCAGATCGTGATGGCTACATTAGGGCACCCATAGTATGCTCCCAGCTTGGCCTTTGCGTCTACCAAATGAAACGATGTCCTGAATTGACTCCAATCTCGTTGATTTCCCAGAAAATCAATGGCCGACCGGACGTACTCATAGGTGAGATGGTCGAATGGCACCCCCTTCATTTACATGCACAGAATCGAAGAAACTATCTATATGTAAGCTCTCTGTGGTATGCATGCTGCTCCCTGCTCTAAAGGCCCTGATAGAGTAATTCTTTGAACTTGACCACATGCTCTGTTTGTAATCGCAAATATATGATGATGCCCCCATTTTCTGCTGACACCAAGAATGCCTTGCCATCTGGCCTCACAGTGGCGGGACCCATGTGGAACGGCTGGCCCCACCCAAAGTCCGCCGTATACAATGATAGCCCTACCCAGCTTGTGATGGCCAAATTAGGGCACCAGTAGCGTGCTCCAAGTCTGAATCGACTCAAATCACGATAACTTCCTAAAAAGTCAATGGCCGATCGAACATACTCATCTGTCATCCTCTTTATACTTTCTCTAATCTTGCCGGCAGCGTAACTGAGCGGCTTTGATATTAGGTCGCCAGCCTTCGCCATTGGAGTTGTTGGGAACGTTGCATTTCCAAAGTAATTGGCCGGAAAAGCTGGTCGTAAGCGACGACGACAGTCGACTGAAACTTGTACCTTGGTCTCTTGGTCATTCACCAATCCTCTCGCCTTGGACGCACATCTCCATATGTGACCCGCCAAGGACTCGTACCGGCTGTACTCACGATTATCTACGTTGCCATTTTTTTCTCGTCCTTCATTAGCTACTCTCTTCAGGAGCTCTACTTGGTCAGAGCTCAGCTTTAGTACAGCCACAGTGGTTTCCTTCTTCTGCTCCTCCATCTCGTCCACTTGACCCACCAACATTGGTGGTCGCTTGTACTCTATGTGGTCGAACTTGGGCGTGTCCTCCTCATTCTGAACTCTAGGATGTAGAACAGCCCTATCAAGAAATGGCGTCAACTCTGGATCTACTATGTTGGAACGAGCCATTTGGGCCCATGTAGTAATGAACAGCATTGACGCTGCTCCATCTGCTACTACGTGTGATATCCCCATGCCTAAGCAGATGCCACCACATCGAAAGAATGTGATTTGCACCGCCAACGGTGGCCATTCGTTGATTTGGGTCCCGTTATAATTAGCGTAAGGAACTAGTTTACTCAGCTCTGGAGTTGGCATGAAGTTGCTCAAGTCGTCAATGCAGGAATCAGACTCAGCTTCCACGAACAGAGCACCTTTCTCATTGCAGTTGAGTTCTAGACCGCCGTCCTTGTCCTTCTCAATACGTCCCGCGAGTGGGTAGAATTCCACCAGGGCTTGACTTAGTGCAGTCTTCATGGTTTCTGCCGAGAAGAAGTTGGGTTGGCCATTAGGTCTGTAGAAGTAAACAGTCTCAGTAGTCCAAGACTTGATCTGATCAATTGGAGATAGACCAAGCCGGTGAATTGGTGTCGGTTTTAGTGGCTTCACTACGTATGAACCCTTCAAGGTCACCTTCACCATCTCTCTGTTGCTCCCTCTCTCTCTTTCTCTTCTCTCTCTCGTACTGTCTCCCAACTTCAATTTCTCTTATATAGAGTCTAGATTTGTTGTGTCCGGCCTGGACGGTGTGGCTGATGTAGAATTTAAAGTAGGAAATTTTCTGGGAAGTCTATCAACCGCACTGACAATCTCATCCGTCATCCCGGCCAGGCTGGAGATAACGATCCTTCACAGTTGGGTTGATGGTATGGGTATCCGTGCCATTAATCACGCTCTGATGGTACGGTCATGATTCATCTACCAAACAAAAATTATAACCATTCTCTACTTCGTAAATTGCTGAACTGAAACCTCCCCGGAACTTTTTACATTATTGCATCCACATCCCCTCCATTATCGTGAGCTCATAGAAGCGGGTAAAATTATCAAAATATCCAACTTTGACCATTTGAATGCTAAATTAGCCTCTAAAATTTCCCTTCCCTATTGTACTGACCATAAAATTCAAAAAAAAATTGTGTTTTTTAGAATTTCAAATAATATATATTTGAAAATTTTATCAATTTTTGTGTTTCCTACGATTCTTTTTTTCGTGTTTTGAGAAACATATTGAGTGAGGTGGATATATGGATCAAAGTGGGTGGGTTGAGGTGGATGAGGGTCAGGGTGCGTCCTAATCCATTATTCAAGCGGGATATAGATTACTATTTTAAAGGTATTTTCAATTTTGGTTAGTTTAAAACCTCCTGCATGTATTCATCTAAGGGCAATGACATTTAAAAATGTTTAGGTGATGACATTAGCAATTTCAGTTAATATTCTTACATTGATTTAATGGAAGGAGCATAGATGCAACCAGTGGCAGAGCCTGCAGGAATTTTCTTTTGGGGGTTAAGTAAGAACAAGAAAAATAAATGAGATAGGGTTTGGGGAGAAATGGGATAGAAAGGTTTAGATCTATTTGAAGAAATATAAACTTTTTTTTTTTAATTTTAGGAATGTCGAGTATTATTGAGTGATTGGGACAATAAAGTTTTAAGGGGCCAAGAATACACCTAATTACATTTATGATATTTAGTTACTTATTTATGATTCAAGGTTCCCCTTACACATAAGGGTGTCAATGGACCGGTTTTGGATTGGACCCTGCTCAATCTAAAATCAATTTGGATGGATTGGACGGACCAACAAGATATATTAGATTGGACCTGGCCCATCTGTAACAAATTTTTATTGGATTGGTTTGGATTAAACCAATGTCTGGTTCATTAATATAAGATAAGAATATATGTATCAATGAACCAGGTTTGAGTTAAAACCAATCTAAATCAAATGAATTTTAATAGATTGGATGGTCTAAACATTGAATTAGACCGATCCAATTTGGTCCAAACATTCATTAGATTGGATTGGACCTGGTGGACTCACATTGGATTAGATCGGATTGGACCAATCCAATACAATTGACACCCCTACTTGCACGTTAATTCATGAGTTCCAATAATGTTTTCAACATGCTATTCAATCAAATAGTCAAATTGATCCATCACCTGGCTATGTTTCTTAACTTGCAGGTCCATTTATCTCCTGAAATAATTGCAAAATATGTTGGCTAGATCAAGGACTTATTAATCAACCGTTGAAGTGCCAGTGAACCATTTAACTTTATCAGTGGATCACTAGTTAGACTTTAGTCCTTTTTTTATCAAATTTTTATACCTTTAGTCATTTCCATCAATAATAATACTAATTCTCATTTATTACATTTATTTATTTTTTTAATATGATGGATAAATAATATTAGATTTTATGCCCGTTTTGTAAATTTTTTAATTTTTTAATTTTTTTTTTTTACATTTTGCATATTTATATATTTTATTATTTAATTTATTATGTTATGGTTTAATTTATTCCACCTAGATAATTGAACAACTGAACCTCCCTTCAAAAGAAGAAGAAGCAGTTCTACTTTTGGGGATTATTAAACATTGATTGTAGAATTGGAGTTTAAAGACAAAGTGGGGCCAACACGCAGTGCTGGAGGTGATGGTGGCTAATTCCTCTATGTATCCTAATTAATGCATGAAATGGAAAGAATCGATGATGAAGTAAGGGTAGTGGAATGCTTGGACGATACCAAAATCATCGCCACCGCTGCAACTTCCAACAACAACAATAAACAATAAGGGTATTTTAGGAATTTTAAAATAATTACCATTCACGTAATGTCACATGTGAATGGAATGTGATGGAAAAATAATCGCAAGGGCGGTAAAAATTTAAGAGTACCACAAGACAATATCTAAATAGTAAGGGTACAGTTTGTCAATTTCGTGAATAGTAATGATAGTTTAATAGATTTACCTTTTAATTATTAATAATAATATAATTAACAATAATTATTTTTAAACTATAACTAACAATAATTATAATTTAAGCTATAAATAGTAGAAAATTAAATTTAATTACAAAAAATTAAATTTAATTAGTTTTAGCCAAGAAATTAACAATATTTTTGAAAATATGATAATTTCCAAAAATTATTGTATTTTAAATAAATACAGTAATTTAATAATTACAATATTTTAATAGCTAACAATATTTTAATAATTAATAATAAAATGTAACAAATCGTTTATAACTTAATCTAACCCGATTAGATCTATAAATTTGTAGGCTCAAGCAATTATTTTCTTTTGAGTTAGGTCTAGTTGAGAGATGCACCATGCCCACACATTGTCAAGGATAATCAGATCCGAAGTCTAATTGGGTATCAAACGTTTTGAGTCAAATGATTGTTTAGTGAATAGGGCCCAAGCTTAACAACCCCTAATAAACTAAACTTGGAAGTTATATGCATATATGGTATATATTATTATATAATATTTAAATAAAAAAATCTATATTAATATATATATAGAAATGTTATATATTTTTTATACTAGACTAGAATTAAATAAAAATTTTAATTTGTAAGAAATCATAGTTTTATAATTAACATGGGCCTCTTTATCAACAGAAAATGTGCAAGCTTGAGCTCGAACCTGGCCTGAACATCGGGCCTAGATTTTGAGCCCGAGCCCAACCCTTATATAAAGTTCGAAGCCCGATTTGTACACAAATGTCTTACTTTTTGTATACTTTTATAAACTAATATTATATTAATTTAGTAATAATCTAATAAATTAATACAATAATTTATATTTCCTAATAGTAAATTGATATTTATTAATAATTTAAGAAGCATATATATATATATATTATAACTTTTAGATATGTAATAGTATTGGGCCGGGCTTATTTGAGAAAGCCCAAGCTCGAGCCCACGAGCTTGAAATTTTGTCCAAGCCTAAAGAATAATGGGTCAGGCCGGGTCGGGCATCGGGATATCTAGCCTATGAATAGGTCTAATTGTATATATAAACAATTGTATACATAAAAAACCATATGAAATAAAAATTTAAACATCTTTTTCATTTTTTTTAAATGGACCTCTCATAGCTTGTCCCGGTCTGTGGCCTGGCCTGGTCGAAGGCTCGGCCCAGCACAACCCGATTTACATCTCTACTTGAACCCGCCCAATTCTAGGGATGGGGCGGGAAATTCGAGGATTCCCTATCCTTAATAAGGAGTGGGGTGCCTTGCCCTTGAACTCACCCTACATTGGGGAGTGGTTGCCTTGCCTTGAACCCACTTGGCACTAGGGACAGGGCGGGGAAATTCGAGGATTCCCCATCTTTGATGAGGAGTGGGGTGCCTTGCCCTTGAACTCAGCAGTGGTTGCCTTGCCTTGAACCTGCCTAACACAAGGGATGGGGCGACGATGGGGTAGAGTGTCTTAACTAAGGGGTAGGGATAGAGATGGGGTGCCCCGCCTTGAACCCACCCCATTGTCATTCCTATATAATTGTTAATTATTAGTGAAATTAATAAAAATGTTAGATTTTGTAATTATTTCTATTTATTTAAAGTTAATCAAAATTTCATTTAAAAATAATAAAAATAATAACAATTATTAAAACTACTATAAATTATTAATAAAACTAAATTTATTAAAACATATTTGTTCATATTAAATTAACAATAATTATTTTCTGTAAATCAACATTAAATGAAAATACAATTATTAAAATTTTAGATATTAGCAATAACATTAAATACTTTTAGTTAATTAACAACAAATTTTGAGTATTAATTTAATATTAATTAATAATAAATAAAATTATGAAATCTTCCAGATTTTCCCGTGCATTGCACGGGCCCCTGCTAGTATTATTAATATATGGCTGAACTATCATATCCATAGATCATTTGATATTTTTTCTTCAAATATGTCTTTTTTTGTAATTTTAAGAATTAAAAACAAATACTAAGTAATTATTTTTTATTGTAATTTGCCCAGAATATATTCTTAATATATGGTTGATCTATCATATTCATAGATCATTTGATATTTTTTCTTCAAATATGATTTTTTTTGTAATTTTCAGAATTAAAAACAAATATCGATTAATTAATTTGTATTGTTATTTTGCCCATAAGGGTTGAATATATTCTTAATATATGGCTGATCTATCATATCCAAAGATCATTTGATATTTTTTCTTCAAATATCATTTTTTTTTGTAAATATTGATGTGATTACAATTTTAGTAAACGTTGTTTAGATGTTCACGTATGTTTGATTATGATGCAACTCTTCATGAATTCTATTAAAATATATTATTTTAATGTATATATCTTATTAAAGCCTTATATTTAATGTTATTGATGTATTTTTATATTATATTAAAGTTTTTATAGTGTTTCTATGCGAAAAAAACCTTGGCCATAAAGAACAATTAAAATAAGCATTGTTAATATGCATGCCATTCATTGTTAGGCGGCTATTCATTGCAAATTATCCGATATTGCTTGTAGGAGACCTCAATGGAGTTGTGGATTCAAATGAGAAGTTAGGCGGCTATCCATTGTGGGCCAGTCAAACTAAAGGTTTAAGAGAGTTGATCTCCATTTGTAATCTGGTTTACCTGGGTTTCAAAATTTACTTGGTCGAATAAACGAGATTTGCATGACCTTATTTGTGAAAGA